ACCTACTGGGTGGGGGGTGTTCTTGGTGGTTTTGACATGGATGGTACTTGGCAGCAGCGGGGGTGTTGTTTTTCGTCAGGGTACATATTGTTTTCCGGGGGGGGGTTTACAGGACGCCCAAAGATGATATATGATTGGCTGATGGCAGGTAGCTGACCTTTACTAGAAGCAATTTCTTCATATCAGCCGTTACTATGTTTCATCAATGAGCAGTTATCATGTTTTTCCATCAACCAGTTGATGAATTAAGGAGTCTGCTCAAGTACGGAAATATATTTCACCAAAATATATTTAAACGAGCAGCATCTAGGCATGCTGACAAAATCAATTTGTATATTTACAAAAGGGCCCCATAGGGAGAGATGGGCTGCAACTTGGCTTTTACGGGCCTTCCCACATTATGAGCAAGGCACACTGGGCAAGTGCTGCAATACTGCTGTGCCACTGCTACCAAGTGTGGGGCAAACCAATGTTGTTTAATTGATAGTATCATTCCCCTGCTCCCTACATGTTTTATTGAGGTTTTATTTCCCTTTTTCTTTTCTTATAAAATTTTTTTTTAATTCTTATTTAGTGCGAGTAACATTAGAATATTATTTTATTTGTAATCTATGCCAATGTAAAAATAGTTTCTGTTTTATAGCTCCACGTCCCCAAGGAGCCTTGGTATTTATATTGTTAAGCAGCAAGGTCTAAATAACATGAGACAGTACAGTATCTTTGGATCATGTCAAAAAAAATTTTATACAGGCCTATAATAGAAATTTAGGTTGACAAATGACATATTTGCATTTGCCCCACCATAATTTTTTTTAAAAAGAGATGATCATGCTCAGATATTACTGGTTATTATTTATTTACAGAAGTTTGGTGTATCTATGCTTGAAAAAACCTTAAACACAGAATATAATGTTCCCTAGAAGAACTGCAATTTGAATGTATTTTAAAAAGAAGAACAGGAGTACTTGTGGCACCTTAGAGACTAACAAATTTATTAGAGCATAAACTTTCGTGGACTACAGCCCACTTCTTCGGATGCATATAGATGCATATGTAGTCCACGAAAGCTTATGCTCTAATAAATTTGTTAGTCTCTAAGGTGCCACAAGTACTCCTGTTCTTCTTTTTGCGGATACAGACTAACACGGCTGCTACTCTGGAACAATGTATTTTAAAACTTCCATTTTACATATGTTCTGGTACTGTCTCTTTAAGAGACAAATGCCTCATATTATGTTAACTCCTGATTAAATATCCATATGGGTCTGGCCTGGTAGGTCATGTTCTAGAATAGCTTTTATAACCTGGTTATTAAATTGAAATCCAGTAATTAAACATTTTTGCACTGCACCCATCAGTATTTATGGCAGCAAATCATAATTTGTTAATAAATGAGCCCCCATTGTATAAGTTTATGACACTGTCAAGACGACCGGATGGCTTAATGGAGAGAGCATGGGTCATTAACATGTATATGTTTTAAGTCCAAAGTGAAATCCTAAGTGAAACAAAACCCATAGTCTCTGCACAATTCCTCCATAATGGATAACCACACCATCTAGGCATATAAATCTTTACATGGGAGTTAGAAATATGAAAACTTCCCTATATTCCTCTTTAATAATACATTATTAGTTTAGGATTAAAAAAAGAACAACATCAACATTTTCCCTGAGTGATCAATATTAAATAAACACAGTAACTAGTATTTTTTCTCAAGGATAACCGCTCGCAGTGTGGACTGAGAAGCTCTGGTGTCTACTAAGCACTTTACCGGGGTTTGACTGATTATGACCCTTATTCATTGTGTTATGTTGACTTAGACTGCATGCCTTTCGGCACAAGGACTGCATCCTTGCTTGATCTGAACCTACAATACTTCTGGACACATGAAATATCATGGATGATAATAATAATGATTACACTAAGAATGTCTTTTTGAGGAAAATGGTCCTTCCTCTTGTGCAGCAATGAATAAGATTAATATTTGGAGATTAATAATAATAATAAGATTAATATCTGTTTCATCACAGATCAGCGTCACTCACAAATGAGATTTGCAGCTGCACAACTCAGCATTTGGCAATTAGGCCCGTATTGTGTCATCATATGAAAAAACAACCTCAAAGAGGAAGGGATGCATTTAGTGTACATGCTATAGAGACTCACATCTTCATTTGCACATACAGGTCTGTCTCATCTTACGCGGGGGTTCCGTTCCGCAGTTAGCGCGGAAAGCGAAAACCGCGTATAGTCAAAATTACATTGAGTTCAATGGCGGGCAGAATCGCCCGCACTACAGGTACAAGATTAAAATTGTTATTTTTCTCTTTTTTGTTTTGTTTTGTTTTTGTTTTTGCCAACCGTGTAAAGCTGAAATTGCGCATGTTAAACGCGCGTAAGATGCAACAGACCTGTAACTAACAGTTGTGCTCTTTGTCAAACAGTTTCTATCTAGATATGTGTAATGGATGAAATTAACTTAAATTGCAAAAAGCCCAAGTAATCAGGCTCTATGAGAATAAAATGTAGGTGGGCAGGAAATTCCCACAACTAGCACAGGATCTTTGCCAGTAGCCACTATTCCATCCTCAGGAATTGAACAACTATCATAGATGCCACAGACCATCAGGTCAGCTCCTATCATAGCCCTTCCATATTGGCCTTTCCAGGGCTAGCTGGAGACCCTTTTAGTGCAGGCAACTTTCTGTGATCTCCTGTGTATCCTCAACATGGGACTTAAGGGGAACAGAGAGCCTTGCCCTCTCCTTCTGCAACATAAGTGAATTTCACACAGTATATAAAAATGTAACAAACTGAACCAAAACCCTGGACACAAACACCCCCCAGATTTGTGGAAATTTGGATTTGGCCTTAAAACGTACAGATCTACAGCTCAGTGGTTTGAGCATTGGTCTGCTAAACCCAGGGTTGTGAGCTCAATCCTTGAGGGGACCATTTAGGGATCTGGGGCAAAAATCTGTCTGGGGATTGGTCCTACTTTGAGCAGGGGTTGGACTAGATGACCTCCTGATGTCCCTTCCCACCCTAGAATTCTATGAGTCTATTAACTTCATCTTGGCCTGTACATCTATATAACAAGTTGGCCTCAACCTGCATCTGAATACCATTGAAATTTGGGTCCAATCGATGCAGCTTAGGCATCTCTCCTTCTCTTTTTAATAAAGGAGTGTTATTCCTTTCAACAGTTGTTCTTTACTTTTCTCTTCTTTGGACACTGAATCCAGATGATATTCACTAACTTTTGCCTGGGGTGAGGGGGGCAGGGAGGGACTCAAAACAGGCTGCAAAACTCAGTATGTCTTTTTGAAAAGTGGGGAAGGGAGAATGTTGAGCAACTTTGTTCAATCACCCTTAACCCTAGGCAGGAATTTTTGCAAATGTCATTTTCAGGCTATGTGTGGAGCTTTCGGCAGCAGAATCCCTGCAGCTGTAGTCACAAGCTGATCTTTTCCAGAATAAAAGCCCAGCAACAATCACTCGTGACTGAGGCATAGGATCAGATGATCAGTTCCTTCAAGAAGATTAGAAGTGCAGTGAGAGGAAAAAACCCTACTGCTCACTCTCTGCCCCCAGAGACAGTGCGTGAGAGAAGGGGGCCTGCTTACCTGTGAGGAGAGCATGGTAATGAAGACCCTTCTCTTTATCCTGATGAGAGCAAACATCAAATAAATACGCTTTGATGGGACCATCGATAAAGTCAGCTGCAAAATCAAAGAGCACTACGCCCAGCATGGTTATCACTATGGCCCAGGTCCGCTGCTTGCCTCGCTCGGGGATCAAAGCTGCAAAAAGAAAAATAAACTCACCCTTACAACAGCCCCCAACTTTGCAGTAGTTTATAGACTAAATGCAACAGAGCCGTGACCCTGACAGGGATATTTTATTTCTCCCTCAGTGCCTGCAAACAATGTCTTCATATGGGTACACACATCCCAGTTAACCCAGCTCAAGGGAAAGCTAGCAGCACAGCAGATATTGGTTTAGAGAAATGTACTCTTCCCCTGAATAACCCATTATAATAGCAAAGGTAGTTTTCCACCTGGGCTGCTAAACTTCAATAACTTACATCTGGAGCTGAAACATAATGGTCTCTAGGATGTTATTCTTAGGCCTTGGCTACACTGGCCATTCACAGCGCTGCACTTGCTGCGCTCAGGGGTGTGAAAAAACACCCCCCCTGAGCACAGCGAGTGCAGCGCTGTAAAGCGCCACTGT